TTTGTATGTCCCAAACATACAGTAATTTTATTGATTTAAAATATTCATTGTTTCGCCTTATTTTGACTTAATATCGAAAAAGCACCCTTATTTTCAATCGAAAATTCTCAAGTCAAAATATCTGCTTTTTTAAAAAAGTTGGGGTGTTATTTGTTTGTTGAAATCTCTACTTTCTGATGGTATAAAAAAATATACACTACTATGGTAAATGTTCTCAGAAACTGCAAATTAATAATGAAAAAAACTCCAATCCGAAAAATTGATTTGAATCATTATGTATAGTTTTCAACTATTTATTAAAATTTACACTTTAATTACTCGAAAAACGTAAGATTTCATTTTATATTGATAAACAGAAAAATTACAAATCCATAAAACATGCAAAAATAGTTGTTGTAAGTAGGAATTAAAAATAGGATTTTCGGATTCGAGTATTTTTCATTATTAATTTGAATTTTCTGAGAACATTTATCATAGTAGTGTATATTTTTTTTTATACCATCAGAAAGTAGAGATTTCAACAAACAAAAAACACCCCAACTTTTTTAAAAAGGCAGATATTTTGACGTGAGAATTTTCGATTGAAAATAAGGGTGCTTTTTGGATATTAAGTCAAAATAAGGTGAAAAAATGAATATTTTAAATCAAAAAAATTACTGTATGTTTGGGACATACAAAGGTAAGTTTTCACCAAATTTCGTGAAAAAATATTTTTTTTTGCAAAAAATAAAAATCAAAAACCAAAAACTTGGTTATTCGCATTTTTCACATAAATTTTGAGGTTATGTGAAAAAGGTGTAGATACAAAGGTTAGATCTTTTTATTACCTACAACTTTGCCATTTAACTTTTTTTCATAGGACTTGCAGTTTTACCGGAAATCGAGATTAACCATTTTTTACCCTTAAAAACTCACCCCCTCCCCCTTCCCGACATCAAATCGCCCGTAATTTATTTTTCCTTTCATTTTTGTTATATTCTGTACCTTTTCTAATGGGTTTCATCCTACTATAATTTTTTTTCACTTTTCACCATTTTTAAAATTATCGACCCTGGTCTAGTCCGACAATGGAATAGCTCAGTTGGTATTACTATATATACGTTTCAAACACACTCTCCGAAGTGCATCGTCCGAGAGACATGCTGAAGCCCAAGCTGTCGATTTTCGATTCTAGAAAATCTCGAACAACTAGCAATCTTACAAGTAAGTTTAATATTCGGGAATTACATTGAGTCACAGACAAAACTGTATTATGATACTTGGTATCCTATCAACGGTCAAATGGTAGGTATGTAGGTAACCTGCATCGGTCCAACCATGCATGGATTACTATAGCCATCTCTGGAATGGCTTTGCCAAATACCAATTGACTGCAATGGACTCAGTAGTGAGACTGATAGAGTGCCAGGAGACTTATCGCCGACGAAGAGTTGGTAGACCTTACAAAGCCTTGAATGAATGTTGTAAAACAGAGGCGCAAGCACGAATTTTGACAGCTCTGTAATCGTGCATCGTCATCGTCAAACTTTGTATGGAAAAATCTAGTTTGTTCTTACGTCCGATAGGGGCTGCTTAGTTTTCATCGAAACTTTGACGATGCAATACGATACGACGCACCTTTAATTAAGGTGCGATATTTTAAGATTTTTTCATAACTAAGAAATGTGCGTACATTTTCTTAGTATAGAATCATAGGTCATAGGGTTTATTTCACCAACATGTATCTTTTTAATAGAGCTTAAAACATTATCATAATCATTATAGAACAATAACGCATTAAATTAACAGAACTGCAACTTTTTTGTGATCAACACCAAACTCCTTATTTGTCAGCAAGAACAACGACTAGTAAATACAACGATGGAAAATTCAACTCAACCTTTCTACTTACGCATACAACACATGAAGCTGTAGTAGAAACTTCCCTTGCACTTCTGCTTCTGTTTCGGCTTCGGTTTCTTCGGCGAAGCTGTCGGCACGCGCTTATAGCGGGATGGTTGTATCGGTATCACGAGCTCTAGCACCGAAGCGTCATCGTCCTCGTCGGAAGCAGTGAGTTCCACTTCGTAGAGGGGCGGCGAAGCGCGGTCGGTATCGATGTTGAGGTCGCCGAATGTGCGATTCATGTCGGGCAGACGATGTCCCATTGGCCAGTTGATTTCTAAAGGGTTAATGCGACCGTCCTCGATGGCTTTCTGTAATTAAAATGAGAGTTACTGTTTTTATTTTACTAATTATTAACCATAAACGTATATTCCGCAATGGGCTGCAGGCGACAACCGCAGGCGACACTGCGGCCAGTTTCATAAAGATCCATAGAAACTAGTAGTGTCGCCTGCAGTCTGCAGCCGCGGCCTGTGGTCTGTGGTTCAGTTCGGACTTGTACCTTTAAGTTACGAGATTTTCGAACACAGTTCGCACACAAGTATGTGATCTCTTAAAAATTATTTAAAGCTCAACTCCAATATATGGTGCTAGCTTAGAGCATTTAATGCTCTAAGGGTGCTAACGAAAGCTCATGCTAAGCGACTGGACTTAGTATATCTAAAGAAGTTATTCGTTGTTCCAGCCTGATGAGTAGATGGATATGTTTGGCGTCTGTGTAACCATTGTGTAGTTATGTATATGATTGTTGTTTTTATTTATATACTAGCGGCCGCCCGGGACTTCGTCCGTGTTTACTACAGTTTTTTGACTATCTGATAGGCACCTAGTATTTTTTCGGGATCAAAAGTATGTCTCAATCCAGGTCATAAACTATATGCGTAACAAATATAATCCAAATCCATTCAATAGATTTTGCGTCATTGAGTAAAAAAAATATACAAACACACACACATACAAACTTTCACATTTATAATATTGGTAGGACGTAAGATTTTGAACTAACCATTTTGCTAGTTTATATGAGTACACACAACTGATTCTCCATCTCGCCCGGTCAAATAGACTATAGGGTATTTGACAAGTTTTAGAAAACGATCTCACGTGATTGACTAATGTTTATGGAGTCCGTAAAAAGTGGATATTCATCATTCTGTTATGTATTTCAGTAAAAATAACCAAATCAAAAACTCCATTTTCAAGTTGCCGCGAAAACGTTTTTCTGGACAATATGGCGTCTTAATAGTGTGTGACGTCACACGACTGTTATTAAAACGTCAGACGATACAATAGAATACAACTTTAAACGGAAGTTTAAATGCGTGTGAGGTCAATTTAGACTCCGCCAATCTCAAGCGTTTTGGGTCACGTGACAATAGATAAGAAAACTATTATCTTTTTCGTGGGTTTGTAGTAAAATTATGAATATATTTTTTGTAAAAATATTAAAAACCCCTGCCAATATTCATTCTAAACACTTATGCTAACAATTTTTAATACAATCAAATACCCTATTTATTGACCTAAATAATTCTACTTAAACTATGAAACCGAAGCAGAAAAGTTGAGCCAAACAATAAAAGCTTTATGTAGTGTTTTGTTTCTGATGGCTTAGGTCGGGGCTGTCAGTAACGTTTCCAGAGCTAGACGACATGTTGGACTTCATGAATCCAATGTTTGCCATTGCTTTTACATCAAAAAGAACAAGCCTACAAGTTGGTATGTTAATCACTGTTAAATTAAGTTTCCGCAGTGTTTTGTTTTATCTTTTGTAAATTCTGTATAATAAGTTCCATAACTCGTCCAAGAATATTTTACTAAAAGATACTTTGTGAGCGTTTTACAATAAGCAATAGGAATGACTACGGGGTAAAGTCAACGGAGTTCTATTGAGTCCATCAGTTAGATTATCAAAAAATAATGGACACTTGGTTTTTCTTTTGTCAATCAACCAGAAAATTACAGAGTGAAATCGCGTCAAAGTTTGCTAGTGCGGGATAGTGACGTCACTTCGAAGTAAAAAAAATACCAAGACGTGACAACATGTGGCATTTCAAATCAATGCTTTGATTACGTGAACAAAGAAAAAAAACGCGTTCAATCACTTTTTGATAATCTTCCTGATAGAAGAAGAAGAAAAAGTTAGTTATCGTCAATACAAATACTTACCAGAAAGTCGTCGTCCTTAGATTTATTGATTCTCTCCCACCACGGCCTCGCTATGGGATCCTCATCGCTGCTACTGGCGTCGTTCAACTGCAACGTAACAAAATATTATATAAGCTTGATGTTTACGTGATAAAGGATAATGCTGAGTCATTCAGATCCAGTACATGGACAAAATTCCTGTACTCAGGAAGCTGTATCAACTCTAATACAGCTAAGGGTTCCAGAACGCTCTTGTTCTAGAACCCTTAGCTGTACCTTTTACCTTTATTAGCTGACCTTTTTTAGCTGAACCTTTGTATTCGTAATAACACTAAGTTTCTATCAAGATCAAACAATAATACTATGAGGATATATCGTTCTGGGAACACCCTCTCCGAATTGGTCTATGATTGCTTAAAGAGAGATTCAAAATATTTAATTAATAGCATTTACAAATTTAAAATTTTTGATTTTACTGTACATTGTTAGGACGTTGGAGCAACAGAAATATGATCACTCGTCTTAAAACTGTATGAACGGAACTCAAAAACAGTAATGAATGCAAAGGAGTCGAAATAGGTGTGTTAAAAGTAAAAAAAAGTAGCGTGTGAAAAATGGCGCTCTGTTCTCTGTTTCTCTTTACATACACCATTATATTGATGCAGGCCAATGCGCTAGCAGTCCACCTGATGATAAGTGCTAAGAAAAAGGTTTACTCCCTTTTTGAAGATCATAGCTATATCATGTGATACTTAATTTCCCATTTATCTTGTCGACCTGAAGGACAAACAAAGCGAGCAGCACTGAGCTGTCACTGTCGAAGCCGCTGTCGTTCAGCTTGGTGGATCTTTTACTGCCACCCAATCCGCTCATAGAGCACCAAGGGTACTCATGCATTACTGGCTTTAAGGAAAAAGTTTTATTCGCCTATGGAAGATAGCCATATCAAATATATGTATATGTGATACTCACGTTTCCATGTCTCTCGTCGAACTGACGGGCGGACGAAGCGAGCAGCTCTGTGCTGTCACTGTCGATGCCGCTGTCGTCCAGCTCTGGGAACAGGGGGAGCAGCACCCCGTCGATGTGTTCCACTGCCTCCTCCAGCTTGATTGATTTCTGTACTACTGGTAAACGAGACACCTCCTGAAAAGGATTAGAATTATTTTCAATTAGATTTCAATAGGTGTAATCGTATAACGGCACTCGAATTTTTATTATAATTCTGAAATTATTTATGCAAAAACATTTCTTATAGTCATCGTTAGTGTAGGTACTTAAATTAATAAAAACAAATTACTAATACCTACTTATTAAGATAGTCGAATTCTGGAGTTTATCGTATTAGTTCAGCATTAAAAAACCTCTATTTCGGTGGGATTTGTTTCATATGACGAGACAAGAAACGATTTTTTCCTAGATTATCTAGATGTTATGGATACAATCAGTACCCCTAGCACGAACCATTATCGAATTCGAATAGTTTACAAACCGAAATGTCAATGTCAAATTTTGTATGGAAACTTGAACAGCAGCGGCACAAAGTACGTAACGAGAACTAAAAATCAGTACATATTTGACAATGACATTTCGGACTCGCAAACGATACGAATTCGATATTGGTTCGTGCTAAGGGTACCGGTATAGTACTTTATTTTAAATCTTAATGTGAAAAGTAAAACCAATGCAGGCAAAATAGCTTGAGAAATTACAAAACTAGAAACCAAACGAATCAATAACTTCACATGATAAACAGCTTCCATTAATTTGGATCTAATGATATGATTTACTTCATCATTGATTGCACTAGACATTTAAGTACGACTTTATAACTCTCAAAGCAATATCACACAGAAACATCGAACAATAAAATTAATTTTACCAGAAGTATAGCTGCATCCTATCCGGACCGTGACATTGTAATCTTTTTACTGACCGAAATATCACATTTAGCACATTAATATAAATAATAATGCATAAAATCCGAACAGACGACATAAAAAGCAATTAGAACATTTTAACAGGAGGATTTACCTAAACAGCCGATTCGGAAAATCGCCTGTTCTCCAAACACCTGCAACTAGTCAAAACACTGTAGCATGAACCAACAACGAAAAATTGAGTGGCGAGAGGGCCCTTCCTCCTGTTGCCATGGCAACCATGTGCCATGCGCGCGCACTATATCTCACCGCGCCGCGCTGTCAAACTTATTTACATGTTTGTCAAACTTTTTCGCAGTTCGATAACAAAAGTCATTTATTTGGAAAAAATCTAATATTTCGTGTAGAAAATATATTTAAACTCACGAAAATGGCACCGAAAAAGGTAAGTTATAAAAAAATTAAATGCCACTAATATTACAGTTCAATTATATGGGAAAAAATTACAACCGAAAAATTAGCAACGATATTTTTGGATAAAATAGTCCTACGATTTACAGGTGCATGCATCTTTTATAAATTTAAAAGACAAATTTTGTATTTTGATTCAACATTGCGCTCTACGTAACTATTATATTATCCTAAAGGTTACATAATGGATAATAAAAACTATTCTGTCATTATCGATTAAACAAAATGGTCTACCAAATTTTACACCTCGATACATCTTACTTATGACATTGTATTTCAATGAAAGAGTAATAAATCGGTACATAAATGTAAATTCTAAATAGCATAATTTTACATTTGGTAAGCAATAACTATAAACCACATAGGTGTTTACTTATCAATGAGTTCTTAGGTTTTCACGCACATCACTCATTAAATAAAACTAGTTTTTACGGGTTAATGCACGAAACTTTATTTATTTATTGACGTTTCGCAGCCTTTTCAGGTCTGCATCGTCAGAATAATGATTTTATTTAAAATTGTCGAGCTACCTTCGAAAGAATTATATTGTGCGTTCGGTTATTTCATTGGAAGATTTTTAAAAAAAATTTATTGTCTATGTATGAATTTATTATTTAATTTACTTAATAAAGTATTTTATTTAAAATTCTTGTTTGTAATTTTGAGCTGCAAGACCACAGATCCTTGCAGCTGAGCGGCGGTTCGTTCCTCGAATGATGCGCGAGGCTATTGAGATTAAAAAATATCCAAATTTCAATAGGGAAGATGGTTGGTATATACCACCAGCTTGGGAACCTATTATACAGGAGATAAAATCCCAACCCCGAGCACACACTGCAAGACCATCAGATACTATTAGTTCTTTTTGTTTGCATAATTTAACATAAGAAGGAGATAGAAAGCCTCTCTTGAGTTTGTTTCGCCGGTTCATCTCAGGAAGGTCTCCCAATTTTGGAACCGGTGGTAGTTTACGGTAGTTAGGGTCAAATAAATAAACTCAAAATTACAAACAAGAATTTTAAATAAAATACTTTATTAAGTAAATTAAATAATAAATTCATACATAGACAATAAAAAATTTTTAAAAATCTTCCAATGAAATAACCGAACGCACAATATAATTCTTTCGAAGGTAGCTCGACAATTTTAAATAAAATCATTATTCTGACGATGCAGACCTGAAAAGGCTGCGAAACGTCAATAAATAAATAAAGTTTCGTGCATTAACCCGTAAAAACTAGTTTTATTTAATGAGTTCTTAATAAAGGCAGCCTTCCATCCTTTCGACTCTTTCTAAAAAATTCGGTATTATCAACGAAGAACGTAGAATCAAGCGAGACAGCAAACTGAAGCATTTAAATTTCAAATCACTTACAGTTTATCTCCTCATTTACATGATAAAACCTTCCACAACAGAACTATTAAGCTGGGTATGACTATTTATGCTCAAAGATTTTTATATATATTTTCTTTGTAGTTGCCGAAATGTTTAAATTTTATATCATTAAAATCTTTCTCGACATTTTTGGGGCTGCTCAGTTTCTAATGTACCTGTAGTCACTGCGAATTATAATACCTATCGCTTCCTTTATATGGTTGTTGAACTTTTAAGAAGCTTAAAACATTTCTCTTCTTAGGGTCCCTAGCCAAATGGGAAAAAACGGAGCCTTAATAGATTCATCAAGTCTGTCTGTCTGTCCGTCCGTATGTCACATATTTTTCGAATCTATAAGAACTATATTGTTGGAACTTGGTTAGTAGATGTATTCTGTGAACCGCATTAAGATTTTCACACAAAAATAGAAAAAAAACAATAAATTTTGGGGGTTCCCCATACTTAGAAGTGAAACTAAAAAAAATTTTTTTCATCTAACCCATACGTGAGGGGTATCTATGGATAGGTCTTCAAAAATGATACTGATCTTTCTATGTATAAACATATATGATGTACTTTACCATGCAAACTTCCACCGAAAATTGATTTGAACGAGATCCAGTGAGTAGTTTTTGCTAATAAATAATTAATTAAGAAAAGACACTATTATTAAAATATCGATCAAAGTTACAACGAACTACAAGTACTTTAATATTATTTATTATTTTCAAGTATTTATTACTTGCTGCTACGGAACCCTTACTTACGCACTTGGCCGTTTTTTTTTTGAATGTTGATATCCTTCGAGTGCATTTTATATCGTCCCATGTCAGACATAGGGATCATTCTAAAATTATGAAACATTACCGTTACTTACGCCTTCTTTCACTAGATTTTTCATTTTGTTTAATTTTTTATAGAAATAATTGTAAAAGGTAGGTGTTATGAATGTAAAAAATGTATGTTTTTCTTCAAGATCGCTGCTAATTTATTTATAATTTAAATTATATTGGCTTAGTCAAATAAAAACCACAAAATGATTTGGAGTATGGATTGAAGGACCTTGTTCTGTTGTGCCTGTGTCCCTGCTCTTGCTAAATTCATCAACTTTCTCATTGCCGAAATTCTGTGATTAATGTGATTCTGTTTGGTTTAAGTTTAACTGAATTATTTAAACTCGATCTATGCATCACATTGCTTAAATGTGATTGTTTCACGTAAGTAGTTTTTCAATTATCAACTGAATCGGAATCACTAATACCGTAGTCATCTTAAGATTACTCGGGATTACAAATAAATAGTTCTTTGTGCACATTGAAAGATCTCGATAGAATAGTGTCAATGATTGTTACATCGTATGGACCTTTGTTGCAAGCTACGACATCATCCCCATATCTTGGTATGTCCAATCCTTTATAAGAAGGTAGTAACCTTACTTTTAAATTGTTATTAATAGAAATCCTAAAATGTGGTATTTATAACTCAATAATAGCAATTATCGTAATATACTAAAATTAAAAAGTAATACCAACTTAATCCACTTAGACACGTACTTGGTATTATAAGCTAACATCTGAAATTCTTAAGGTAATAAATAGATTAAGATATATTAGATTGGACAGTAAAACCCCAAAAATTGTTAACTAACACAACCTTTCCAGTTACTATAAAGGTGGCTTAAACTTACTCACAAAGTAACAAAAAAAAACTGCAGACAAGCGCACTTCCGAACACTATAACCCTATACAGAAAAATAAAATTTATCTTACTTTATACTATCGCCTATAGTGTACTCGTCGTTTCACTTGCTAAAGACTGAAACATTTCAGCAAGAAGAAAATGTAAAATTCACCTTCTCCTTATGAAACGTCTGCTTAGTGTGATCTTACTAGTATTTTTAGAATAGTGTTTTTCGTTATGTAGTATGAAAATACGTTCAAGGACGGAAACGTAAAATTGTCGAATAGAGGAATTTGTTTACCTAATATTTTACTAACAAACTTTTTTGCTATTTTTTTTATACTACTTTGAATCCAAATATGTACGGAAACTAAAAACATGCGTTTAGCATGATGAAATAAGTACACTTTATTCCTTACCATCAACGACAATTTAAAACATAAAACATAATATCGTCTCAATCTTATAACAAATTAAATATTTAATACCTGATTTAGATGCCAACCCACCAAGGGCTTAGCAAGCCTGTTCAAATGCCAGAACTCTGGCGAAAAAAGTCGGAGAAATGCTTAGGAACACTACTAAAGCGTCTTAGAGTGAGTACAGTAACTGTAATTACTTCAGCACGGCTACAGGAAAACCATTGTATATATCACTGTGTGTCTGTGCCCGTCCTTGTCTGACATTTGACTGCTGTTCGTGCCGTTGTATAACAAATGTTTGCCTGCCGATATGATCATAAATGCTTTGAAATGAGCCACGGAATATGGTAAGGTCGTGTTGCTTCCGTTGTCAGAACGAAATCTTTGAATGTTATCACTTTTTCTTAATTATTCTAGTTTGTGTCCGTCCGATTTTAATTAAGAATCTTTTTATTTTGTATGTGTCGAGAATTGTGAACGTCTATGCACGCTGCGTTCTTGTTTGATATTATAGCGCTAACATTTTTTACGGACCATTGATTCCGAAATGTTGATATCGCGAATAGTCTATGACGTAAATAACACTCTGTAAATGTAGGCTGCGTAAAGAACTTTGAGTTTTAAATTCAAAGATGGTTATATAACGTTTTTATTATTTAACTCATATTATGATTTCCATGATAAGCTCGAAAATTCAAGCTCATCATGGAAATGTTCAACATTTTGTGATTCTCAAAGACTAAAATGTTAGGTAGTACCCCAATGGTACCCTGATAACAGCTAACTACAAGTTACTACAGAATTCCAAATTTATGTATCTGAACTTATTTTTGTGGATTGAAAGTAAATATAATGTAAATCATTATATCTTTAAGTTCTGTTCTATAGGCACTTTTAAGAAGATATAGCTCCGAAAAGTTCACAAACTTCTGATGAATTCACCATTTGTGAGTAAGGTGCCAGAACTCCCGGGGTAGAAGACCGTATTTAGGTAAAGACCATTTGTCCAAGGTTAAGGCTAGCAAAATTAAGATTGTGGCATATTTTTTTACCGCTTCAGTTATCTATACAACTGGACTTCCTGAAAACTTAAGATCAGACAACAGGTAAGGTGGGGTAATTAAGTAAACCTTGTAATAAAAAGCAATACTTACAACCAACAATCGTATTTTGTATCTGAAAACCTTGAAACAACATGGGCTAAAATATTGTACAAAATTCGCACTCGTTAAGTCCTACAACAGGAAAACATGCCGCTATTGCGGTCCCATATAACAGAATGACTGTTGCGTGGTATTTCAGGCAACAGAAATAATAATAAAATCAAAAATCTGTAATGATTATCGGTAACGCAACCGTAACAAAACCGTACCGCTTTAATTCGGGGATTCAGGTTGTTCAGACACGCAATAAGTCTGCAGTACAGAGACGCTTAAATAAGCTCAATATGGAGTCATATATTCGTAGAGATTAGATACGCAAGCAAGTGTACCACGT